TTTTTTTTTTTTTTTTTTAAGACGCGGTCTTGCTTTGTTGCCTAAGCTGGTCTAGAACCCCTGGGCTCAGGCAATCCTTCCAAGTAGCTAGGACTACAGGCATGCATCACCACAGTTTCATTGAAGTATTTATTAGGTACCATCATAGGCTCGGTGCAGTTCTAGGTACTTGAGTTTTATCAATAAATAAACATGATAATCACAGAGGCTGTGCCGGAAGCATTTAATAAATTCAAGAGGAATTCAGCCTTACAAATTATGAAATATTGGGAAATCATTCATCATTTAAAAACTGGACATAAAGCAAAAACCTTTTCTAAGAGATAGCCTCTTCAAAAAATAAAAAAAGAAATAAAAACCTACAGCCAAGCCCATAAAATGGAGCTCATGTCTCACCAGAACTGCAAAGACAAGTATGCTATTACTACTTTTAGTTGGTGGTGTGCTGGAGGTTGAAATCAGTCCAGTAAAGCAAAAATGTGTATACATATATTCTTGCAATATAAAGCAATATATATATATATATATATATATATATATATATAAAAAACCTAATGATTGAAAGGGAAAAATAAGAGTCATGATTTATAGATTATCTGACTGCATATGTGGAAAGGGAAAAGAATCATACTAAGTACTTTGGACTGAACGATGACCTCCAAAATTTTTATGTTGAAGCTCCAAACCCCAATGTGACTGTATGTGAAAATAGGATCTTTAGGAAGTGACATTAAATGATGCAGAGAAATGGCAGTGTTTGTGGGGGGGGGAGGAAGGGAGGGAGGGAAAGAGGGAAAGAAAGAGAGAGAGAGAGACAGAGAGAGACCGACCAACAGATCGATTTCTTGGTCTCCATCATGTGAAGACATGAAGAAGTAGGTATTTACATGCCAGAGAGAGCTCTCACAAGAAACTGACCATGTTAGCACTTTGATCTCAGACTTCCAACATCCAGAAATGTGAGAATATAAATTTTGGTGTTTTTAACCTCATTTAAAGTTAAATGAATTTGTAAGCCATTTAGTTCGTGCACAGAGATCATGAGTGGGATTCACGGATTATATTAGCCATCTTAACAGAAGTAAGTAGACTGGACTATACTAGAGGAGACATTGCCACTTAGACTGTGCCACCTAAAATGGACAGAGAAGGCAGAAAAGAACAGGCAAGGCTGTCACACTTCTTAGATTTTATAAGATGACACAGTAATAATCAGCTGTGAAAGTGCACTGGCAGTTAAAGATGGTTTAATTTCTGGCATGCTCTGCAGGATCCATAGGAACAGAAGAGACCCTTGGAAGAACATCTTTCAACAGTTCACCTCTGGGCCTATATATCCTTGGCTTCCAGTAAATTTTGACATGAATGTGCTACACTGGCAGCCACTAACCAACAGGGGATAAAACGAACCTGCATGATTTATCTCATTCAGAACTTGTTAATACCATGATCCTAGGAATCTAATCACCAAGGTGAGGGAGCCTGCAGTACTGACCTTACCATCCATGACCCTTCTTCACAGATGCCCAGACTCAGGCAACCATGAAGAAGTTGTATTTAGAACCATGAAGAAGTTGTATTACTCTGTAATTTCAGACCCTCGGGATGGCATCAAAGGCCAATCCATGAGCTATTACAAACCTTCACAAGGCATTTAGGACAAATCTGATAATCTTTGGTGTCACTGCCAATAATTAAAAATGACAACTGATGGGCTAAATGGTAACATTCATACCCTTACATTCATAGGGTTTCTGCCCAGTGTGAATTCTTTCATGGGTACTTAGGCGTGAGGAAACAGCAAATGCTTTCCCACATTCCTTACATACAAAAGGTCTCTCTCCAGTATGACTTCGCAGGTGTACTTTAAGGGCTGAGGAAAACATAAATGCTTTCCCACATACCTTGCATACAAATGGCTTTTCTCCAGTATGAGTTCTCAAATGTTTACTACGATGCGAAGAAGTAATGAAGGTTTTTCCACATTCAGTGCATTCATAAGGCTTCTCTCCTGTGTGAATTCTTTTATGTTGAGTAAGGGTTGCAGATCTATTGAAGGCTTTCCCACATTCCTTACATTGATAGGGTTTCTCTCCATTGTGATTTCGAATGTGTATAGCAAGACCTGTGTACTGAGTGAAGGCTTGCCCACATTCCTTACATTCATAGGGTTTTATTCCAGTGTGCGTTCTTACATGTTGAGTAAGGTGAGTTGATCTAGTGAATGTTTTCCCACATTCTGTACATTTGTGTGGTTTTATTCCAGTGTGAATTTGAATGTGCTCATTAAGGGATGAGGAATTTCTAAAGGTTCGTCCATATTCTTTACATTCAAATAACTTCTCTCCTTTATGAGTTTTCACATGTGCAGAAAGTTGAGAAAAATTAGTGAAGGATTTCCCACATTTCTCAGTCTCTTTGGATTTCTTTCCAGTATGAACTGTTACACAGTGCTTTAGATGTGAGGAAGCTGTGATGGCTCCCCCACATTCCTGAAATTCACAGAGCTTCACTCCAGTGTGGATTCCCATGTGATTATCAAGGCTCGCAAAATACTTAAAGCCTTTTCCACATTCCTTACATTTGTAGGGTTTTCTTGCATTGAGAATTTGAAGATGTACAGCAAGGCCTGGAGTTAGGGAGAAGACTTTTCCACATGGATTAAATTTGGAAAGTTCCTGTCCAATAGAGGGTTCCTTGTACACGGTGAGGACATCTTTTCCATAACAATTAAACTCAGAAGTGTTCTCTCCATTCTGAGCTCTCATGTGTGTCTTAAGGCAAAACTGTTCACTGAAGACCTCTCCACAATTCTTACAGAGTTTCCATCCACTGTAGCTTGTCTGCTGATGAACAGATAAAGGATTTAAAACATTTTCAGACATATTAAGAGATGTCACCCACCTAAAGACAGAAACATTATTTTGGGCCGGGCGCGGTGGCTCAAGCCTGTAATCCCAGCACTTTGGGAGGCCGAGGCGGGTGGATCACGAGGTCAAGAGATCGAGACCATCCTGGTCAACATGGTGAAACCCC